GCGGTCCCTGCGATCCGGTTGGTCGCCGAACCCGGAAGTAAGTAACTTCCGGGAATGGCGAAGCCCCCCCCCCGCGCCCACCCGCGCCTGCGCGCCCGCACCCGCTCCTTACCCGGTTTTGATGAATTCTGCGCTTCCACACATGCGCAGGACGCATACAGCGCCTGCGCGATCCTCCAGGAGCAGCTGGAGCATCGCACAGACGCTAGTACGCATGCGTGCGCCACGCGCGTGAGGATGCCACACACGTGCGTGAGGACGCCGCCGGCCTCGTTCCAACCGAACCGGTTGGAACGGGGCGAGAAACCCACCCCTGACTAAGAGTCATCAAATATTTTGAAAACTCTGGTCAAAGAACTGGGTGTGTGCTTGCAAGGGCCAGATGTGACATGATAACACGTTTTTCATCTTTCTGTGCTTATTGAAGATGTCTTATTCTTATATAAATGTTTAATGTTGAAACCAGTGATTTTAGTGGTTAAGTAAAGACATTGTAAGTGGCAAAATTGTATGTAAAACATAACTGATGGTTATTTTTAATTGCATTTCACACTTTGGAGTCCCTATTAATGGCTTAAGTTACATTCGTTCATTTTCCCATTGGCAGCTCTATGCATAGGACCCAAGAAATAAATTTCTTGTGTGTCAGAGGTGGTATTCAGCAGATTCTGACCAGTTCTGGAGAATCAGTAGCAGAAATTTTGAGTAGTTCGGTTAACCGGTAAATAAACCACCTCTGACTGGCCCCACCCACATCTATTCCCGAGTTCCAGTTAATCAGGAGGAAATGTGGATTTTGCAGTAACCTTCCCCTGGAGTGAGGAGGGAATGGAGATTTTACAGTATCCTTCCCCTGCCACACCCACCAAGCCACACCTACCCACCAAGCCATGCCACACCCACCAAGCCATGCCACACCCACCAAGCCAAGCCCACAGAACCGTTCATAAATTTTTTTGAATCCCATTACTGTTTTGTGTGTATGTGCTTTCTATCCCACTCCTCCACAGGACAATTTATTCCTAATTTAAGTTTAGCTCTAATACTTGGCTCAAAAGGAAATACTTATTAACCCTATCATTTATTGGCAGAGCTGCTGTTCCTAATTGTAGTTATTAAGTGTAGACTACCTTTTAAATGTGAACAATACAGAAGTTTGGTACAAATTTGAGCTAATTAATCCCAATTTTCAATATAGATAAAAGGACATTGGTAAATATTTGCCTGAGGTAACGCCAGGTTGTATACTATAACTGTTTATTAATGTAACTGACAACAAACAACCAGCGAACATAATTGACAGCTCTTTTATATGCTAGCTGTCAAACTATTAACCAATAGGGAGCCTGCATTGCTCCCGCCAGACTGCAACCGTGCCGGAACCAATGAACAACGTTTACCACTTGATTGACACCTCTTTCTTGAGACGCCAGGACGTAGCAGACATATTGCTGTTTTTGAGTGTTACACATCATTTCAAATCCTTTAGATTCTTTCTTGATTCTGCAATTTCATAGATGTAAATTTCCAACTCTAACACTCCCAGTGCATACAGTTTCTAAGTAAAACTAGATACAATTGGCCAAAAACAAAGCTAGCTGTTAGTACTTGGGACAGTCATAATTTTGATGAGCAGTGTAGATTTTATTATAATATTATTTCATCTAGGCCTAAAGCAATAGCTATCGTCTAGATATAAATGTATACTTTGTCACTGTCAGTTTCTTCAGGGCGATTATAAATTTTGCAATGCAAATTTGAACTTCCACAAACGACTGAAATATTGCTATCCATAACAGAATACTAAAGTTAGCATTGAAGACTATTTCTTGTAAACTATGGAAAATGTTACATGGCCCTCTGTTATTCTGACATGAAGATTCATCTGCTGCCAACATTAGAAATAAAATGGTCTTTTTAGTATCCTTTGAGTCAAGGCCTTGGACTTCTTTATTGTCTCAAATCATGGCATGGGACATCAACTTTATTAACTTTTATCTTGCATATTTCTGTCTTCATTCCCAATACACTTTTCATGCAGATCTCTTCTATTTTATCCCCATAACAGCAACCTGTCAAGTAATGACTAATCCCAAATCAATGAGTTTCCATACATAGAGAAGGAGTTGAATTCCGAGTCAACCTGGCCAGAGACAAACTTTTACTTACAACATCACATTTCTTTGATTTTAAATTTTTCTCTACTACTGAGTCCATTTCATTAAATTGGTTTTTAGCCAAGCAGCTAGGGAACTAGAGACATCATTACATATTATCTAGTAATATTTTTATTTATTTTATTTATTATTTATTTATAAAATTTATATGCTGCCAATAACAACACATTGAGTAATATTGATATGTTTAGTTTGATCATTATCATCTAGCAAATGTGTTATCTATCTATCTATCTATCTATCTATCTATCTATCTATCTATCTATCTNGGTCCCTGCGATCTGGTTGGTCGCCGAACCCGGAAGTAAGTAACTTCTGGGAACGGCGAAGGCCCCCCCTGCGCCCGCACGCGCCCGCGCGCCCGCTCCTTACCCAGTTTTGATAATTCTGCGCTTCCACGCATGCGCAGGACGCATACAGCGCCTGCACGATCCTCCAGGAGCAGCTGGAGCATCACACAGACGCTAGTACGCATGCGTGCGGCGCGCATGTGCACACGTGCGCGAGGACGCCGCCGGCCTCATTCCAACCAAACCGGTTGGAACGGGGTGAGAAACCCACCCCTGAGCCAGAATAACATGAGGGATATCTATGGCTGCCTTTAAAGAAAAGAGAGTGAACTTAACTAAACAAACTATTAAAGGGTTTAGGTTTTTGACCCATATTCAGCATTTTCCACTGAATATTACATGTGCTGTTTTCCTGCCTTGCCAATGGATATTTCCTGTTTAAAACTGTGCTTTGCAGCTGAGGTAATTCTGTCGCTATGCTTTACTTAATCAACCCCTCCAGCTTTTATCATATGTGTTTATTGCTTTTGACTCCGCAAACTGCTCCCCTGATTTCAGTGTACCAAACCAGCATGTCTGTGAAAACGTGTCGGTTAGAAAAGACAACACAAGCATGAAGGTGTGCAACACTATTAGGTTATGTAACATCTATAGGTGAAGTCTGTTTTCAGACAAGACTGAATTCGCTTCTGATTCAGTGATTGGACTAAGTCAAGATCGTGTGTGCCTCAGTTTTGGAATGGCTGGTTGACAAATACAATGAGATTTTACAGGCATCCATAGTCAATGAGTTTGTAGCCCCTCCGAATTTCATCTATTTTTCATCCAGCTCTTGTACAGTAATCTAAACTGACAAGCTTTTCTGGACTAAGAAAGCTTTTAAATATCATCAGAACTAAACAGAACAGAGGGGCGTTCACCTCCTCTGTTTTCAGAAGCGATATAATTTTTTGCTGTCTAGGTTATTTGTGGTACCCAGGCTACATATTGGCAACTCGTGATTAAGGATGCTTTTTAACTGATCTTCGTGAATACAGATATGAATCGTCAACTTTGTTATTCATTATTAAGCTTTCATTATTCATTGAGAAAGCTTACCGATGAGCTTTTGCACTGCCTAAATTTTCCCCAACAACTCTCACACCACCCACAATTTACGCTACTGGTTGGGGCGAGCCAATCTGAATCGGCTGAATACCACCTCTGATTCTCACACATTAAAAGATAAATCTAAATCATAAATGAGATAGAATAGACTTAAGAAAAAAAAAGAACTCTAGAAACAAAACTGATTTGCCCATCTCTACCTATGTGTTGGATGCTAGATTTTAAAGATTTCAACAGCTTAAAAATAAAAATTTTCTGCTTGGAGAATTTCCTGAAGTTGAAATGGATGGTTATTTGCCTTCCTTACCCAAGCATTTGGTCATTCTCAAACCTATTAAAAGGAGATTTAGATTTTAGATTTAGATTTTATTAATATTTGTAGGCCGCCCTTTTCCCTGAGGGGACTCAGGGCGGCTCACATAAAATCNTGTCTGTCTCTCTCTCTCTCTCTCTCTCTCTCACACACACACACACACATACACCAGAGGTGGGGTCCTACCGGTTCGGTCCGGTTCGGCCAAACTGGTAGTGGTATGGCAGCCTGGGTTGCAGAAGTGGTGACCCAGGCTGGCCATGCCCCCAAACTGGTTCCCCGGTTGTCGCCATCGCCATCGCCATCGCCATCTTTCTTTTCTAGTTCTGCGCATGCACAGAACAATTTCCATTGAACTGTGCATGTGTGCATCCAGCACATGCGCGAAGTACACCCACCAGCAAACCAGCAGTAACACCGGCCAGAATCCACCCCTCACACACACATACGGCCCTCCAAGTCAAACCCAACCCTGATATGAACCTCATGAAATCGAGTATAAATGATTTAGCAAATTCTAAGTTTACAACTTTGTATAACATGCAAAAATACTGAGTTGAATGCCTTTTTCTACATTCTTATGATGACTAGAATCTCTGTGCTTTAACAAACAGGGCCTTTTTGATCTGAAGTGATCAGAAAGTGATCAGAGGGCCGTGTTTTTTTGGCCCTCCGTCCCTAGGATTCCTTTTTGAGATGGTATCTTGTTTACTTCTGAGCATCGAGGGAAAAAGCATTAGTTTTTTTGCAGTGTGATACCAATTCCATGGTTCATAAGCACAACATTTCATTGCTCTGCAATGTCTTACTTTTTCTTGGGAATTATTTCTGTTTCTCAGACATTGCTGAAAGTTTTCCTCACAAAGCAGACGATCATATATACTTAAATAAATGCCTCCTCTCGCTCATTTGTGCTCCTGAAATGTTTATTATTATTAGCTTTGACATGCCTTGATTCTGTCAAAAAGCATTTGCTCGTAGTCTTCCACAAGATGCGATCAATAAACTTCAAAACGAATCCCCCTGTGGCCTATTACTGATCTATCATCCTATATCATGTCCCTTCACCCTGACCTCCTCTAATGTCTGCTTTTCAAATCACCTTGCAGTTCCCAATCAAGGACCCAACAAGTTTACAGGATGAAACATATGATAGTTACCTCGCTGGAGTGGAAGTGCTGTCCAGGATACAGTGGAGGAACGTGCCAGCCAACAGGTATGGAAGATATTAAAACGATAATAATCACAACAACCTTTTCTGATAATCAAAGTCGACTGGCTATCAAACTGGTACAGAAGAGAAAAGCTATTTTGATGAATTAGCAACAGAGGTCTTTCTAGAGCAGGGGGGTGTCAAACTCAATTTCATTGAGGGCTGCATCAGGGTTGTGTTTAGCCTCAGCGAGTTTGGGTGGGCGTGGCCAGGGTGGGTGTGGCCACTTTGACGTCACTTGTGTCGAGGCTGCCTGTGGAGGCCCGAGCGCTCTGCCAGAGAAAACGGGCTCCTGAGCTCCCTTTTTGGCTGCAACAGCCTCCTGCAACCCTCTGCCAGTGAAAACGAAGCTTGGGAGGGCCGCATGTAGTTCTCCTGAAGCACCACAGGCAGCACGGGCCAGTCCGCTGTTTTCAGAGCAGCCCCGCGGGACAGATCTAAGCACCCCATGGGTGTTGGCTGCTGGGCCTTCAGTTCCTCTGTTCTAGAGGAAGAAAGAACAATTTTTGTTATTACTATTAAACCTAGTCCTGTCTTAGTGCCAAATCTTTGAGACAATCACTGTCTGCCTGTCTGTCTGTAGCAAATCTTTCTGAACTATTGCCAAGAAAACAGCAGAGACTTGTCTAGGCTGAAGGCAGGAGTGATTTGAGGCATGCACGTACCAGTGGTGGGTTGCGTACCGGAGCCTGCCAGGATCACCGAGTATTGTTCTGGTACGGTGTTTCGGAGGGCCCACCCACCCGCCTGAGCTTCTTACCTGTCCTTTAAGCCCGCGCGACACTTCGTCCATGTGGGCGACTCTGGGCCTCTTCCAACCGTACCAGTTGGAACGGGATCCGGAACCCACTACTGGCATGCACGCACGCACGCACGCACGCACACACACATATGCACACACAAACACAAGCATACACATACGCAAGCATGGGCACATAAATAAATGCAGTCCTCAACTTACAACAGTAAGTTTAATGACCGTTCAAATTTACAACGTCACTGAGAAAAGTGNAATTTGACCCCCCAGCCTGAGTGATGGAATATTGGTCGAATCTCTGGGAGGGAAACACAACAGCCACTCGGTCTGTTGCAGTGTTTTCATTCAGTTTTCCTCAATCTAATACTAGTTTGGGAAATATTTGTTTTAATTCTCCAAATGTATATATATATATCAGATTTCCCAGGATCTTCAAACCTATTTGGTCTATTTTCCACTAGGTGGCAGCCTGGCATATCTATAACGTACGGTTAAATTCTAGGAGCAATTTTTTTTTTATTAAAAAAAATGTAATCCATCTCCTTTTATAAAACTCAAACCCATTTCGGTGTTCATATCTTTGTTGCTGTGCCTCAAATACCCTTCATCCAAGATCAACAGCAAATTTAATTACATAGTCATTCAGCAATTGAAATATGCATGGACTTGTTTTCCTCAAACCGTTTCTGTTTTGAATCAGGTCAGGCTGCAGTCTTAGTTTTAGCTCAGATATTCATGTAAGGAGCTGAAGACAATTGATTAATAGTCCATGGCAATCCAAACACATTTCTTAGTCTTAAATAACTTGAATATATGTGAAAGGGATTTAAATGATGATCAGGGAAAAACCTTCTGAAATGCTGAAGTGTATTGAGGACATGAGTATTAGCATCAAAATGTGCCTGGAATTCATAACGTTCTTCCTTTAGCCAATATTAGCATTTTCTCCAGTCACCACACAGTAATTTGTTTCACAATGGTTGCTTATATTCTTACAAGATACAAATTCTATGGGGGACAAAGAAAAGCAACTATTTAAACAGACAGATTCTATACCCTCAAGAAAAGCAGGATATTAAAATAAAATCATGAACATGCTGACTTTTAGGACTCACTTTTCTCCCCACCAAAGGTCTAGGCAGTTTAAGCAGTTTAAGAATTTTGGGAATATTTCATAGGTATTTTCACAATTTACTTTGTGCACAAAAGCATTTATCCATGACCAGAAGGCAAATGGTGACTTTCGCTCTCTCTACCACTCTTATCACATTTTCTTCCTTGTTATGTTGTTGGGGGAATATAAGTAGACATCTATCCCAGGAATGGATCCCTGCATTACTACTAGTTCGGCACACACAAAAATCTGTGTGCATGCGCATTTGCAGCTTAAAAGATCTGCGCATGCGCACAACATTAGAAAAGCAAAAAAAAAATACATTTTTCCAATGAAGATTGTTCTGCACATGGGCAGAACAGAAAATCAAGATGGCGCCGCCGAGCATAGAACCGGTTCAGGGGTGTTTCCAGCCGAGTTACCATCTACTCGGACGAACTGGATCAAACCGGTAGGAACCCACCTCTGTTATGGTGCCTTCTTATAAAAAAATATAATACTGAGAGTGTTGCTTTGCTATGTAGCATAAATGCGTTTGTGATCAGCGAAGAATCAGGGCCACACATTAAATTCTAGTTAAGCTGAGTCATTGCTCATGCCTAGACACAAGAATCTAATGCTAAATTGGCACTAGATAAGAGTTAATGTAAGACTGCTTGTGGGCACCTATTGATTCCAGGCTAATTCCTCTCTTGACTCTGCCCCTTTCCTGTCATTCTCCTACAGCAGGGGTGTCAAACTCAAAGCTGCATCTGTCCCACAGGGTCCTTAGATCTGACCTGCAGGCCCACCCTGGAAAGAGTGAAGGACCAGGCTGCGGTGCCTCTGCCAGCAAAAATGGAGTTGGGGTGGGCTGTGCACAGCCTCCTCAAGCCTCGTTTCCTCTGGCAAAGGGCTGAAGGAGGCCATCGTGGCTGAAAATGGAGCTGGGGTGGGTCATCCGTGGCCTCCCTGGGTTATGTTTTCCCTGGTAGAGGCCTGCAGGAGGCCATCACGGCTGAAAATTGAGCCTCAATGAGTGACATTGAGCTGGCCATGCCCATCCTAGCCACTCTTCTCTCTGCCCCCCCCCCCCTGAGGTCAAGCACAACCCTGATGCAGCCCTCAATGAAATCAAGTTTGATACCCCTGTCCTACAGCTTCAGTTCTTAAAAGTAAATGAATAAATGGAATAATTAAAAAAATCCTTAAGGGAGGGAACAAGGCAGATGTTTGTAACTCATGTTCAGCCTTGTTCTACACAAAAGGCCTTAAAAACAGAAGATGGCATATCTATTTCTGAAAATCTCTCCTCCACACTAGCAAAATGTCCACTCACTGTTTGTTAACGTATAAAATCCTGACTATTCCTTTTCCAGCACTTTACTTTAGCAATAGCAGTTAGACTTATATACCGCTTCATAGGGCTTTCAGCCCTCTCTAAGCGGTTTACAGAGTCAGCATATTGCCCCCAACAACAATCCGGGTTCTCATTTTACCCACCTCGGAAGGATGGAAGGCTGAGTCAACCCTGAGCCGGTGAGATTTGAACAGCCGAACTGCAGAACTGCAGTCAGCTGAAGTAGCCTGCAGTGCTGCATTTAACCACTGTGCCACCTCGGCGCCACTTTCCAAGGTATCCTTTGTTTCTTACTGCAATAATCTGTATTTTAGTTGGGGGAATAGAAGTCTGCCATCTTCATGCATGGTTCTTCTACACGTAGCCAGACAACGTGGAGAAAAAAGTGAGGGTCCTTGATCAAAAAAATCTCCTTGATTTTTTTCTTTTTGAAGTATTATGAGCTGCGGTGGCGCAGTGGTTAGAGTGCAGTACTGCAGGCTATTTCTGCTGACTGCTGTCTGCCTGCAATTGGGCAGTTCAAATCTCACCAGGCTCAAGGTTGACTCAGCCTTCCATGCTTCTGAGGAGGGTAAAATGAGGACCCAAGTTGTTGGGGGCAATAGGCTGACTCTGTCAACCGCTTAGAGAGGGCTGTAAAGGACTGTGATGAGGTATATAAGTCTAAGTGCTATTGCTATTAATTTGCTATTAATTTAAACTAAGCACTTTGTTCATTGCGCGGAGTGTACCATATTTTTCACAGTATAAGACACACCAGAGTATAAGACGCACCAAGGTTTTGAAGGGACAAATTAAAAAAAAAGTTTTTGCACTCTGTAGACCTCCCAAAAACGGTCTGTTTTTCATGAAAACACGCCATTTCCCCCCACCCCAAAAAGGGCATGAATAGCCCTCAGGAGACTTGTAGAGTGCTTCGGGGGGGGGGGAGTTGAGCAAAAACTGGCCCGTTTTTTGCTCATTTCTGCCCTCCCCAGCCCCAAGGAGCTATCTGAAAGCCTCCTAAAGGCTCTGCACGCCCATTTAGGTGAAGGGGCGGGGTTTCAGGAGGCAAAAAAATGCTGCATTCAGCGTATAAAGCGCACCCAGATTTTCAGCCTCTTTTTTGAGGGAAAAAGGTGTGTCTTATACTCCAAAAATACGGTATTCAGAATCATCCATATTATCTAGAACCTTATGGTGATGGAATCTTGACTTTCAGAGTAATCCCAAATGCATGGCCAACTATGCGTAGATTGTTACTTGACTGCAAAATCCAAAATCATCCCAAGTAGGTCGCAATGATAAAAAAGAAGATGTAAATGTGAGCAAATCCCAGAAGGCAATTTGGTTGCAAAAATCTCCCCGCTAATTAGATGTTACTCTAGCAACCCGAAAAGGTTTCTAGGGATTCACTTGAGCAGAAAGTTTGAGTGGACATGAGTATTTCGGAACCAGATTTCATGCTCTTAATTACACACATTTGCATTGCATCTTATTCATAGTCATGCTGAAACCGAAGGCATAATTTTAACTTCTGGGGGGAAAAAAGGATATTTATTCAGTTTTGCTCTTAGCCTACTGCACTCCTTGCCTTCAGTATAAGTAATGAAAATTCAAATAGAAATCTCAAGTGTAAAGGCTATAAATAAGATTACATTTGATATAATTTGCTTTTTAGTGTATCATCCTCTCCTCATGGAAAGCTATTTTTGTATTATGCTGTAATTATCACTCTTTCCTATTAAATGGACCCCCTTCTTCTGGAAGGGTCTGTTTTGATCTTGTATATTTCATAAAAGGTAACACAGTTA